GTGGGTTTATCGCACACTTTTCATCGGATATTTATAGTCAAGACATTGCGGTGCGGTGGCGCTGCATTTYTTGTTTCTATTTTTCGGTGCGTCGACAGCAGTGCGTGCCTCGAATTAACAAATTATGGCACCAACGACATAGAAGAAAAATTTCGCTTTTCTATTAAAAAATTGATGTCTCTCTCTTCTGGACTACTCGAAATGCCAGAGAAATAGCACAAATTTAGATATACATATACATATACATGTCAAATAAGGTCGCCGCTCACTTCTGTGGCAACGCGCGAAAAACTTCGGGCTTTACTGTTGAATAAAACATTAACAGTACATGAACAGTTCAGCAAATTGTGTGCAATTTTTTGTTGCTTTATTACTCTTCTTTGTTTAGTTGCGTTTTTAGRATGTTTACACAGCCTCAAGGCGTTGGGAATTCTCATTTTTTACGCCATTATTGAAAAAGTTTCRACGTCAAAAACAACAACGGCAAGCGCCGTGGCAGCAACAGCGTGCCCGAAATGTCGCTTTGTCAAAAAAATGTGAATTTTTGTGTTAACGGGGGGCGAAGAAGGCCTTGACTGTTGTGCTAGTGAAATTGTAATTATTTATTGTTATATACATATGTATATACCGTTGTAAAATATATAAAAAAATACGACATGGCGGCAACTCAAATACAAAAATTCTTAAAAATATTGGACTGCGCTTGGTGCCTCCATATGTCGCGATTTTAACGCCAGGTCAAGTCAAAATTCAAAATTATAGTTATATTTTTGTAGCTTGCTACCTTCTGAAAATTTTGTATTTTCGTAATGAAAAGTTGTTGTAAAGGAATCCATTAAGAATTTTTGAGATCCTGTATTATACTCAAACTACTTCAAAAACCAAGAAGAAACTTGTACAATTTTTTTAAAATAACACTTCTCTATATTATTATGACTCCACTATCTTTGGTGGGACGTCTTAGTAGTAATAGAGCCGCAGATGTTCTAAAAATGACTGTTCGTTGTGGTGTCTAGAACTCATAGATAAGTACTGTAATATATCTATAAAACGCCCGGTTTATACCTGGTCCAAGCCGGGTTCATCGAAAGTAAGGCAAGCGAGATCCGTCAACTTTAGTCTGGCGAAAGCTGAACAGTAGAGAAGAAAGTGCGCAGATGTTTTCACCTTATTTCTTCCATTCAGCGTCAACAAGTTACGACCTCCAAAATCTTAAGTTTAACCGCTCGAGTGCCAATGGTACACTATCCAGTTAGGACACCTATCATAGCGGTCATGTGAACCTATCTAAGATCAAATAGTTCCATTGACATTTTACGGTCCGCTCTTTGCCAGAAGGCTTTAGTAACCAAACAAGTGCTGCATGCTGTTGCACGCTTGCTGATCTCGCGCCTAGCTTAGAAATCCAGTGCCAGAAAGTACGAAGACTGGTGAACCCCTATTCGTTCCCATATTGATGGGATTTGGGTAAGGATGCCCTTTCATACAAGCTCATCGGATTTGTAGTTGCCAAAGATGTCGCTGAGGCCAGGCATGCAGACAAATATGGAAGCAGCTTAATGCTACAATCCTTGACCAGCTCTGAGCTCACAATCAACGAGCTCTGCTATCGAAGTGGATGCATACCTTGCCGAAAGAAGCCTCACATTGTAGAAGTAATGGCTGCCACTTCTGTTTGAAAGATTGAAAGTTGATTGAGACCTCTGGACAAAAGACTGCATTCTTCTTGAGCTTTGATCCATATGTGGAGAAGTTCACTGCATCTGTTCTCTAGCGACTCCGCCCAACCCACATATCTTAATGAGGTAAGATGATAAAGATCACTGCCTGACTCAATCAATTAAGTTACAAAGAACTTAAATACTGAGAAACCAATTATATTTTATGAATGATAATCACTAATCACTTTTAATTAAACTGAATTTAAGACCCTATCTATAATAATGTCTGTAAGCAATCCAAAAATCTTCAGACGTTATAAATGTACCCTTTCAACTGGGCTCATGCAATAATACTATAACATAAACCCCAGAGTAGAATCATTTTTTACAAGAAGGGAAAATAAATTTGATACGAATTATTCTCCAAGGCAACAGCATATTCTCCGAAGAAATTACTCAGTTCGGATCATTACAGCATATAGCAGCAATACAAACTGAGCGTAAGCTTAGTGGAATAAAAACTACTGCTTTACGCGCTATATAAGTACTCTTTTGAGAAAAGTGACGTGTGAATGAACAAATGAGTTATACACTTCAACTCAATGCTTATACCAGTTGCATGTTCGTTTCGCTTTCTCTGTTACTTTGTTGTGTATGTTTGGGCAAGGAAAGTAGTTAAGCTAGTGTGGTTAACTGTTATATTCGCACATACTTTCGTATGTTAGTCTATTTCATTATACCAGTTGTTTGTTCGATTCGCTTSCGCTGTTTCTTCGACGTCAATATTTAGGCTGGAAAAGTAGCTCATAATGATAAATTTTTAACTAGTACGACTTATAATAAGATAAGGTAAGTAAGCTTTTACTATGTACTTTACTATGTTAGTATACTACATTTATACCAGTTGTTTATTCGATTTGTTTCGTATAACGCCGACAGCTTAACAGATTTTTAGCATAGAAAGCGATTTCTAGTAATATTTAAAAACCAACTGCATTTTTGAATGAATCTTGGTGACGTACTTCGAAAATTTCATACTTTCATATGAAAATAAAAAAGTTTTAATTTTATTTTACTAWTAATTAGCATTCTTTAATACACGAAAGTGTTAGTAATTGAAATTCCAGGAATATTTATGCCAGTAGTACCGTTATTAAAAGCAAGTCTTATTAAATTTGTCACTATACAGACAGCGAGACCTTTTAATCCACAGATTACGTTATTTTAATACAATTTTCTGTATATTCTGTATATTCTTGTCTTATATATATATATGTACGTAAAAATTTTAATCACTTCGCTTTAGTTATTACGAACTTTGTTGCCTATTTTGTTTAGCTAAAAGTTATGGAAATAATTTACTTGAATTGCAATTTGTCTGGTTTTAAAATAAATATTAAATTTGTGTGCATTTGCAAAAGTTTCCTTTGCAATAAATGCAATTTTAATTCAATTACAATTTTACCACTTTTTATGCGCTGGCATATTCAAACACACACACACACATATATATATATATATATATACATATATATATATACGCGCACATAAGCTATTTGGTATAATAGACATTAATTTTTATGCGTGCATGGTTGTGTATATGTGTGTTTATTTGTATGCATTATTATGTTAGCTTTAAAGCTTTGCTAAAGCCCCACTAATTTAATTGGATATGGAAAAAGCGCATTTGCACGCACACATTTGCACACATTTTAGCTGTAAATATTTGTGTGTACTTGCTTAGCTGGGATWGTTTATATTTTTATCAGTTGAGTAGGGTATACTAAATTTGCCAYGCAGTTTGTAATAGCCAGAAAGAAACTTAGTAGGCTCTAGAAAGAATACATGTAAATGATCAGCGTGACGAACTGACTGCGTTTAGCCATGTCTGCCTGTTGCTTCCATCGTAAGTCGGTCTATATTTCCATCAGTTTTTGAGTTATCGGCCTTAAATTTTGTATATGTGCTTTTCTCTCCAAGAAACTGCTTATTTCACGAAATATTATCTATATCGGACCATTATAGCTTATTGCTGCCATACGAAAGAAATGGTCAAAATCATGTACTTGTAAGGAAAACTTTTTTATTTGTCGGGATATCCACGCAAAATTAAGCACAGATTATTTTCTTAAATAACGATACATTCTGCGAAGAAATTGTACAGTTCGGTTTACTATAGCTTATAGCGGCCATACAAACTGAACGATCAAAACCATGTGCTTGTAGAGAAAACTTTTTTATTTGTCAAAGCATTGTCACGAAATTAARCACATATAATTATCTCAAGCAACGGTTTAATTTCGGAAGAAATTGTTTAGATCGGAACACTATAGCATATAGCTACCATACAAACTGGCCGATTAAAATCAAATTCTTGTATGCAAATATGTTTTATTTATCAAGATTTCTCCACAAAATTTGGTATGTATCATTATAAAAGCCAACGCTACAATCTACGAAATTTTTTTTTCAGTTCGAATAACTATAGCTTATARTTGCCATACTAAATGAATGATTRAARTCTTGTTTTTGTAAGGAGAGAAGCTACCTTTACAAAATTCGCCATGAGTTATTAACCAAAGTAATGCTATAATATCTGTAATTTTGTTTTATATCGGATGACTATAGCATATAGCTGCCATAAAAACTGTACTATGAAAATCAAGAAAAATCTCTTTTTTTATTTATGTTTGTTTATGCTATGAAAAATTCAGCTGTAAAGAGTAGTACTACTAAGTGTATATATTTTTCTTGTTGTATGTATATATGTATATAATAGTTTGTCAAAAAAGTCCTGCGGTATTTTTAATTTTTTTTTATTTTTATTTTATAACGGTTTGATGACTCATGCCCAGCTCTTGACCGATGCTACGGCTGCTATTATGCCGGCCTCTTTCGACCAATTCAGCGATTTTATCGCAATTTTCAACGACAGGCCTTCCGGAGCGTGGCGCATCTTCGACCACCTCTACACAACAGAACGAAAACGTTGAAGCAATCGTTGTGCGGTGAAAATGGAACTGTATCGGGTCCATAAACTGCAAAAATTTTATTGGCGGCTTGAGATGCATTTTTGCCTCTATCGTAGTAGTACTGTAAAATATGCCGTATTTTCTCTTTATTTTGCTCCATGTTTGCGACGCTATAACTCACGAACGACTCAAAAGAAACGACAATCATTCAATTATTCATTAGCGCGTGAAATGAGCTTTCCAATAAGGTATAGCATGATCCGATGCGACGAATAAAACTAGAACTACGCGCTCTCAGCTAGCGAAAATACCGCAAGACTTTTTTGACAAACTATACTTACTTGTTTGTGTATTTGTACGCACTCACCTTGATTTGTACAGCCAGCGTTCCCATAGTGTCGGTTTTGCTGACATTTTGATGCGTTCGATTTTTATGTCCGAGCTTAAAATGGCTTTAAATATTTTATATTATATATTTATGTATGTATATACATATATGTGTTTATGTATGCGTGTGTGTGTATAGTTGTCAAACTAAGCTGGCATTAGTTGCAGCTGTTGTCGCTGTTATTATTATTATTAATATATAATTATGGCTTTTAGTTGAAAATGCGCTATGCCGACCACTTTGTGGTTACATTCATGTTGCATTTGTTGTTGCAATTTGTCAATTTATTTGTTTTTGCATTTATTGCGTTTGCATTCGCATTCAGACGCGGTAATCACATCAAATTTCCACGCTTGACCACTTGCTTTTAGCACGTTTGTCCATTACGAAATCGAAAATTTTTATTTTTCAAATTTAAATGTGTGTGTGTGTGTGTGTGTGTGTTTCGGTTTGGATACTGTGTGTTTGCCGACTGGCGGTTGTGTGAGCGCTTGTGTGCTGTTTACCGTTATTGTATTTGTGTGTTTAGCCGCTCGTTGCTGTTCCGCCGCTATCTGAATTATCAATTCAAATTAGAGGCATTTCGAAATTAACAGGAAACTGTGTTTAAATTATTAACACACGCGTCCTGCTGCGCCACAATGTTGTGCTGTTGTTGCTACTATTGCATTTAGAACGCATTTTTGTTGTAGTTTGTCGTTCATTTTATGAATTTTGGCTTAGCACTTGTCGGGAATTTATTAATTTTTAAAGTGTTTCATGTTTAATTTATTTACGAATGTCTGCTAATTTAATGCTTTCGAAAATATCACCTCCATTTGTTGATATTTCGACATGTGCTTGTGTGCATAGGCGCTGCCAGATTGCAGTAAATTGTCGGTTTCAAGGGTGTTTCCTAATTCAATTTAATCTCGGGTGTAAACTCTTCGGTTGCTTGGCGCTTATTTCGGTTTATCGTTAATACCGTTATATTTGCACGACGTCTGCTTAYGTACGGACACTGTAAGAAGACAAAAGTTGTATAGAAACCACAGATTAGTAGGTGTTAATAATTGATACAAAATAAATATGGAATAAAYGCAAATATTTGCAATGATTTATTTGCTTAAATTACATAAGAAAGGAATACTTTTTGCTAATTATGCTGGAATTTTATTTCATTATTACTTTTAGGATGAAAGAATTTTAGCAAAATGTAAATACTTTACTGTGAGCATACTTGGAGGATGGAGACATTTGCAGAAGTTCACTTAAATGAGGAAAGTGCTCTGAGCCTCATTCAGTTGGGAGTGGCCAGAAGCGATTCTTTAACATATAGAACAATCAGCTCACGATATCCGGTCTTARACTTAGTATCCTCCCGGTAGCCAAAGCATATCCGTTTGAAGGCGAACTAAAGTGAGAAAACGAACTATCCCTCGCCAGAGTTATGCGCTCCCAATGAAATGTTAACTCGGGTACTATGCTCATCTATAACTTTATGAGCTAGTGGTCCGATAACACCCAATTTAAATATCATCAACCACGGAATACCAAAGAACACATGTCCATGACTCATCAATTTATATAAATTTTCACCAAATGTTTTTGCTTGAATGGACTGAAAGTTGTACAGAAATCAACTCGCCTCGTCACCTTGATCATTTTGTTAATTTGTATAACTCCACACGGCGTTTGTCGTTGACATCTATGTCATTTACCATAACAATCGCGCCGTTATTTCTGTTTTCATTTTTGACAGAGAAGCAAAGCAAAAAGCTTTGGTAGCGAACGAGGGCARAAGGAAATATCTCCTGTCATCTTGGCAACTTGGAAACTGCTTCGCTCTCTCAAGTCTTACTTGTTGCTGCTTCGGTGTGAGATCATGGGCCTTTTGGAACTTGTGAATCTTGAGCTTGAGCTCATTTTTYAATATGCGTCGGATSCTGTGGTCGGATATTTTCAGTTCTCAGAAAGATTTTAATCGACTATTTAATGCCTGAAATCATGATCTTGGGGGCATTTGAGTTCAACAAGACGGCGCCACTTCCCACATATCGTATCAATCAATAGATTATTGAGATAACACCAGTCGATTGGCCACCAAAATCGTGTGATATTACACCATTAGACTTTTTTTTGTGGGGCTATGTAACGTCTAAAGGTTATACSGAGATTCTCGCTTCGATTCAGGCCTTGGAGCAAAACATTTCGCGTGTCATTCGCCAATTACAATCGAAATGTTCCAATGAATCATCAAAAACTTGACTGAACGGAAGGACCACTTGAGATGTCGCTGCGGCCAATATTTGAAAGAGATAATCTTCAAAAAAAAAAATATATATATATCAAAGAATATCTTTTGGAATGATAATAGACATTCCTCATTAAAAATGAAGTTTCTGTTTTTTTTGTTTTTTTCTTCAAAAAAGTAGGGAACTACTGGGGGATTATCACTCGATATTTTCCTTCCATGCATAAATAGCTAATATTTGTACGTATAGTCCCCGCTAAGCTTTATCGATGTAAGGAGAAGAAGAAGTTGATTCGAWTCGTTCARTTTGTATGACAGCTATGTGCTATGGGAGCTTGCGATAAATGAAGAGCTTCTTGAGAATAAATGGATTATCAAAAACTGACGGACTAGCTTCATAAGTATTCCTTCATGGTGCGCTTCCTGTCAGATATTTTATATATGCACATAATAAATATATATGCAATTAAATATTATATTTCTGCAAAGTAAAACATAACGAGTGMACTAAATATTTTCTTTACACACTGACTGCGTCGAACCTAATGAAATTAATATTTTGTTTATTTTGTGCAAACTGCCGCAATAACGAAAAATATCCACATTTGCTGGCGGGTATTAGGTTACAAACGAAAGCAAATAAGTATTGCATACAATATACTAAATAAATTGGAATTATAATTAGTGCGGCATGAAATGGAATATGTGTGACCAAGGCGACCTCATCGAACCAAATGAACTCCCACACAACACAATTTGCACCAGCATTATGGAGCGCTTTGTGCATTTACCACAAACGCAAATTGCCGTTTTGTATAAGGTAATGAAAATATATTATGTAGTAGCATTAGTTGTGTGGGAAATATGTAAATTAGATGGTTGCATTTTACGAAAAATTACATTTTGCTTTAAAATTAATGAAAACTTCAGCACTTTTGTGATATATTTTGGAATAAAATGTGACCGCAATTTTTCAAAAACGGCGAGCTAAACATATCACGCTCTTTATGGTTAAGAGAAGCCTGTACGACCTTGATCTTGAAAGCTTTTGATTTTCCTTTAGCTGTTGCCCTGCTTCTTAAGACTGTCTCTYTCGCTCTTCATTCTCTTCATATATCCAACTTTTTAATCTCTCCCTTTTTGATGAAATTTAGCATAAGAAACTACCTTAGATAGTATAAAGAGATGGCTGTATAGCTTCCTAACTCTGAACCCTTGAATTTTGAATGATCCAGCTATCCAGTATGGATATGATACAAAAATATTGATGGCAATGTTTAGAAAAAATCAGGTCTCAAAAATATWATTTTTCTAAATTGCATAACTAAACATCAGTCTACTGAGAGCAAGTTTGAATGCTTGCTTAATTATTGTTGCTCAACAAAATTAAGATAGGAAATGTCGCGAGTCCAGGTCAGAATTTACATATCTGGATATATTTTCCAGCTGTCCTTAAATAGATTGTGAGTATATGATCTGTTTTTCTAAATTAAGAAAACCAAATTACTTCCTTTATCCGCGCTCCTGACGCATTCGCCCAAGCCAACGCTGGCTTTTGCTGAAATAAACCTGAGAGAAAGATCAAGCTCTATAAATCCCTCATCATTTCTGTCCTGCTATATTGTGCGGAATCATAGATAATGACATCATCTGATGAGTTGGTCTTAGGATAGTTCGAGAGAAAAGTTGTGCGAAAGATGTATGGTCATTTGCGCATTGGCAACGGCAAGTATCGCAGTCGATGGAACGATGATACGAGATATACGGCGACATTGACATTGTTCAGCGAATCAAGTGTAGCGGCTGCGCTAGGTCATGTTGTCCGGATGGGGAACACGCCATCTTTGAAAGCAGAGAAAGACCTTTTATTTATAGCTCACGCATAATTAGATATCAGACTATGTAACGGCCAGAAATAGTTTGCCTTTAAACGTGCAATGATCGGCCCTATTAGTCAGCTGATAGCTAATCCTTTGTGGTACCTATAACTCATATAAAATTGATCATAAARATGATCTGATAAATCGATGAAGCGATTTGAGGCGATGAAAAATTTGTTCAGGCCGCCGATGTCAATCTGGACCATCTCTTCTAGTTCGCCGATGGTATGACTACCGAGTTCTTTCATCCCTACCCTGGCAAAAGTAGGACAGTGGAGAATGCACTGTTAAGATGTTTCCACCTAACCTACTTTCATTTCATTTTGACCGTGACAATTATAACTGCTATAATTGAGACAAGATGAACTTCACTAAGGACATTTTTAGTAGATCGGCCCACGCTCTACTCCAGGCCCAAATAATGTCACTGTCGCGCGTAGGCTTGTTTTCCATGAACGACTGCTAAGCGCATGCGAGGTTCATAGGCCCACTGTTAGAAGGGAAGATAATAACGGGGTTCCATCTCGCACCTATTCGAATATGAGCGAATGCTAGGTCATCGGTTACGCAGTTTCCAGCGATACCGCTATAACTAAACACCGAAACGGGTCTGATAATTAATTTACTTATTGCTATATTTAATTATTATTATTATTAATTTACAAGCGACTAGGGCATGATTTACGAGTTTCAGCTTATCTTTCGATCACTATTCGCTGCAAAAATACATTGTATTGATATCTAATTGAAAGTCAAGGTCTTTTCCAAACCGAAGTTAGCATTGTTCAATGAATATGTCAATGYTCTGAGCGCTATTTAAGATTGTGATATAAAAAAGTTTAGGACTTTTAAGAAGCGTTGCAGTTAGTTATATAAAATACTAAAGATATTTGCCATTTAAAGAGAAATGAAGGGCATTCTGTCAGCAGATCTAAAATTTATTCATGAAGCGTTATTACAAGAAGAGTTTTGAGTAATATTCATTCAAGTGAGGTGAAAAAATATAAGAAAATTTAAAAAAAAAAATTTTTGAAAGTTAATTTAAAGTCTATGGAAACTCTTCTATGATTTCCTGGTTTCGTTTCAATTTTAAATACTCTGAAATATGAAATTAATTTAAATTGCAAAATATTTTTCTTTGT